GTTTATGATAGTTGATGCTTATGTATGCATCTGTGGATCTACACGACATATTTATTTTCCCTAATGAGTATAAAAAAATAAAAAAAGGCTAGAAGCTCGTAGTCTGAGCTTAAGACAGCTTTTTCTAGATTTACTATTTAAGAAACAAAGTCTGTTTGCATTTATGGTTACCTATAATCTTCTAGAATTTGTTGAAGCTATCAGTGAAATTCTTTTGTGAATTGTGGTGGGTGTAACTTAACCTGAATTATACTACCAGGAGATGGGTGAAAGATTTGCGTTTGCCTTAATAATAAAAAAAACAAAGTTGCTAAGCTAAAGAATCTTTTCAGGAAGGTTGCTTCAGCTACATCAAAAAAATCATGGTTTGGCCCAAATGGTCTTTATATTAGAGAATTACCTTGCCCAAGTTGCCGGGGAAGAGGTTATGGTCCTTGTGCAGAATGCGGAATCGAAAGATCACGTTCAGATTGTTCACTATGTAATGGAAAGGTAAAGCTATACTATCAATTGAAGAACATGTATTAGCTTTTATAACTCACTCAATAGCTTTTTGTAAATTGCTACTTTTCGTAACAGGGTATTGTTACCTGCAAGCAGTGCAATGGAGATTGTGTTGTTTGGGAGGAGTCAATTGATGAACAACCATGGGAGAAAGCTCGATCAGTGTAATTGTACTGGGTTAATGAACTGATTATTTAATTAATTCAGCAAAATAATGTGTGTGAGTAGAGCTGTGGAATACATGATTATAATAATGCTCCTTTGTGGCCTGCGGCTATTTTGTCTCTGGTATATATTGCTGGACAAGTGAATTTCTTTTAATAGTTTTTTCGAATTGGCTTTGGTAAATGCGAAACTATATTTTAGCCACTTTTCTTGACGATGTCTCTGTATGTAGCCATTTTGAACAATAATTCCTTTCCTGATTCGAATTATTCTTCCGTATCTCATTGTCTTTTTCACTTAATATTTGTCCTTTCTCTAAATTATAAGCTTCATTCAAAACATGCATTGTAATTCTTATATGGTGTGATCCTATGATATCTCGTTTCAAGTTTGTATATGATAAATCTCTATCTAAATGCATTTCAGTTCTCCCCTAAAAGTTAAAGAAGATGATGAAGTGGACAACTTGGATATAAAGGTGGACATGAAGAAAAAGAAGAAGCGTGTTTGTCGTTCCTCTGCTGCAGAAATTAATTTGAAGATCAGCCGATCATTAAAAGTTGGTCAACATCTGATTCACTAAGATTCTTTCTTTCTAATTCATTACACATATCATGAATTTTTTATCTTCTTCGTCTAGTTGGATGTTTGCAGAGCCTCAATGCCAAAACTGGAATATTTAGCAAGCGGATGAAGATAATCCACAAAGATCCGGTGCTTCATGCTCAAAGAGTGGCTGCTATTAAAGTTTGTTGCCTTTTGAATGATCCATTTTGCATTTTTGGCATTTGATTATTCATTCAGATGATTTACGTCATCCTTCTTCCCATGTCCTAGTTTACCTAATGTTCTATTGTGTGTTTTTTTATTTAAACTTTTCCTTTTCTCTTTCTTTCTTTCTTTCTTTCTTATTTCTCAGCCTCTGAATAAGAACATATGAAAAAAAAAAAATAATTAATTAATAATAAATAAGTGATGAAAACTTGTGAGTCAGCATGTATACTAATTAATCTAAGTGTTGATAACACTGCAGTTGAAAGCAATTTGCCAAATCGTGTTAGTTTAGATTTTAGGAAATTAGCAAATTCAGTTTCTTTTAATAATATCATGAATGTTCTCATTTAAGCAGAAAACTAAGGGAACAGCTGATGCTCGGAAGCGTGCTTCTGAGGCGATGAAAAGCTACTTTTCTGATCCTGAAAATCGTCGCAAGAGAAGCATTTCAATGAAAGGTCTGTTTTAAGTATGGCTGTTTTAGTTATTTCATTACCTTTTATTATTTTCCAAGTAAAGCTGTCGAATAGAAGTTTTGCCTGTGCAAAGTCTCTGGGTTCTACAAATGTTTCACTTCAAAACATGGAGTTCTCAGTCTAGTTCACATGTTTCAAGATTTTCATTGAAATTAACCCATTCTGTTTATAGTTTTCAAGAGTTGTTCCAATATGCTATTTTACAGGGATAAAATTCTTCTGCCGAAACTGTGGAGGTGAGGGTCACAGGAGAACTTATTGTCCACAGGTCATAGACAGACGGGTCAGGTGCCAGCTGTGTAGGGAAAAAGGACACAACCGAAGGACATGTCCGAAATCAAAGTTAAACATCGAAATAAGCAGTGTCCAAAGAAATCACCATTGTAAGATATGCGGCCAAAGTGGGCATAATCGGAGAACATGCCTGCAGCAGATGGATGAACTAAAATAAAAAAGAAAAAAAAAAATGTTGCTGTGAGTGAAAAACGAGTTGCATCTGAAAGTAATCATACTTGCAGTTACTGTCGAGAGAAAGGGTATAAAATAAGGAATTCTCGGCATAGAAAATGATTGAATCAACATAGGACTTGCACTGCAAGCTCTAACCATGAGGAGATTCTTGAAGATTTACATGATTTTTTTTTTTTTTTAATTATGTCATTGCGGCTGTGCGTGTTGTAAGAGTCTGCAGCTAAATTCCCCAACTTTTTGTTTCAGTTAAGATTATTTCCTCCAAGAAATGTGTGATAATGTTGGTCTGGATGTTGATGTCAAAAGGTCCGGTTGATTATATTGCCTTTCCAATCTGATTGTTTCATTTATGTTCATTTGTTTTGGTGAAGGACAGGGGTCTCATTTATTTGTATAAAATGCTGCTCCATATAATCCTTGTGTGAGATTTATTGTAGTGTATTAAGCACCAGATGTAGATAATATAACTGGGTCAAACTGAAAAATTAATTGCATAAATTAACATATAATAATTATGTGTGATTTTGTATTGGGGACATGCTTATTTCCATTCTTGATTGAGAGAGAAAAATAATGTGCAGACTTTGTATATTGGGGGCCATAACTAGGGGGTCCACCCATAATCACCTGACTCTCTACTCTCTAGTAGTAGTATTAGGTATCTACTCAATAATTTCATATCAATTAGATATTCCATGGACTTTTATCTTATTTAAATCACTTGATTAAGTCCATTAAATAATTGAATAACTAATATAATTGCAAATAATATGTTGCACCATAATTATATAAACTTTACATATTTTATTTAGATCACTTAATTAAGTTCAGTTATATAAAAAAAAAAAAAAAAAAAAAAGAATATGTAGGTGGAAGAACACGTATTTGTCTCTTGGAACTAAGGAGGTGCTACTGAAGTCAATTCTAAATGCTCTGCCTATATATGCTATATCAAGCTTCCTACTGCCAAAGTCTTTATGCCAAATGATCACTCAAATCTTTGCAATATTGTAGTGGAACAATGGAACTGAGAACAAGAGAGGTATTCACTAGAAATCTTGGAGTGTACTCTATCTACCAAAAGACAAAGGAGGCTTTTGGACTTCATGGATACAACTATTCCACAAAGCCTTAATAGCAAAGCAGTTGTGGAGAACCCTTACCAAACCCTACCTTTGGTCAGCAAGGTACTTAAAAGCAAATATTTTCATAATATTCATTGTGAAAAAGAGAAAGAATAGCTAGTGGTTATGGAATAGTTGGCTTGAGGCCAGAGATACTTTCAAGGATGGGGCTAGATATGAGAAAAAATATGGACTTTCAGCTCAAATATGAAATTTGTTATTTCTGTGGTATGTGAATCTCAACAAAATGGCTTAAGAAATCAGAAAGAAATGACAAAAAAACCAATAAAGTCGAGGCACGTAAGGTACGCTCTCCTTAAGACGAAATAGCCCCGTATATTACCCACGGTTCACGGCTAACGCCTCCAAGATACAACGACTTCGAGTTGTGTATAGCGGTAACTCAAATACACAAACCTTCGGCGAACTATACTCAAGTTTCGGAACTCTCAAGATAAGAAATAACACAAAGAACACAAGATGAATATAAACTTTGTAAAAGGATGCAAAGACTCTTGGAAAATTTTATGTATATGACTCTTTCACTTCATGGGTATTTATAGATGTTATAACACATCTCCAGGGGGTTCAAGGCATCAAAAGGCACCTTTTGGGACGTGCCCGGTCGATTAAAACCGGTTAGGAACCATTCCAATACGAACAGGTGCTTCAGTGTCGCGACCTCGTCGCGCCCGCTACGGCTAGTCGCGTTTCACAGAAGCTACGGAAGATGGACTGTCGCGCCCGTGACGGCTGACGCGCCCGCGACATGCCTGGCGCCCAGAGTTTCGCGCTCGTGACAGGCGTCGCGCCCGCGACGGGGCCTGGCGCGCAGCTGCACTCCAGGAGCTCGGAATTTAGTTTCCTTTTTTTCCTACTTGTCCCCAACGAGCCCTTCTACAATTCTAGCATACATAATGCTTGATTATGGCTCGTATACTTTTTCCAAAAATTTATCAAAACATAATGTTTGTGAACCCTTACAACATTTGAGTTATTTAAACTCAATTATTCAACATATAACACTTGGAATTAATTTCTCATTCGCCTTAAAATGATTTTTGAGAATATTCTAAGTCTTCCACTTACGAAAAATGGAACCGTTGAAGCGGTACAAAACCAATTTTTCTTACAATCCCCCACATGAATGAAATTAATGCATGTATGCAGTACTTGAGAGTTCCGGCGAACCGTCATTGCATCAGGATAGATAGCTTGTGGCTTTGAATTTTCCTTAGTGAAATACTATCGGATACACTAGCCGATTAGTAGCGCGATGCTTTGAACTTACCGGCTGTTTGTGTGCACCAAGACAATAGTACTCATACAACAACAGCTTTAACATTTTCTTGTTCTCACGTTGTGTCCATTTCGGCCTTGGACCATATCTCGGTTTAGTAAGTGTTCATTGAAGCGGCCTATGTACTTCTCACTTACAAAGGTGATTCTCCTATAAAGAGTATCCTGCCTTACTCCACCCATAGGTATAGGAATCATTAAAAATCCTCGACTTAACCTCACCACTTAGGCAGATTTTAACACCTGACGGTTCTTGGGAATGAGTGAAATTTTCAAGTGTTTCACTGAACTGTCAAAACTTAGTTTTCCCATTGAACCAAGGTTTCGGAATCTCCGATTCTCATGGTTGGGTTATCGCTAAGACCGTTCGTTTGTTGTGGATTTTTATTAAGCTCATTCCCCTAACCAGTTTGTACAATTTATCTCGTTTCATGCTTTATGTAAACGGATCCGTTAGGTTAATCTTCGACTTCACATAGTCAACCGATATAACCTCCACACGAGATAATTTTCTTATTGAAATTAAGCCTCCGACATCTATGTCTAGACTTACTATTGTACAAACTACTTTGTGCTCTTCCAATTATTGATTGATAAATAATCATCTCCATGAGCACAATTTATTCCACCTAGGAATATCTTTTAGAAATTTCTAAGTCATTAGCTTCTTCCATGCCTTTAGTCCAAATTTATAAATTCGGACATTATTGTGGATCTAGCTTTATACTTAGATAATTTTCATGGCACAACTCTACCCATCTAAAGTGAACACGTAGTCACTTTTTGTCTTAGAGTTTTTCATGTCTAATACTCTATTCAGCATGATCAAAATTCATCGCTCGAGTTACTCGTTAACATCTTAGTTTGCTCGCGAAAATGCAACATTGGGGCGAGTACTATCCGACAAGTACCTCAAGCCTCCAATTATTCAACATACTTTTTTCGAGAAACTAATTATTCTCGAATTATTAGCTAAGTGTAGAGTCAATTATACATTCTAATAGCGTGAGGTTTTATCGAACACATCAATCCTCTTCAAAATACATTTGACATGATGAGATTGTGTCAAATAATTACTTCCGATCTATTAGAAACTTAATCTCTAAAATTACATTGGAATGTCAATAACTTTTAAAAGTCAAAGTTTATCTTATTGGTATTCATGAACAAATCATGATTATATTCCAAGATCATCATATTGTCTACATAAGACTTATGATCACAAAGAGTCGGAAGAACCTTCATAGACTCATTTTGTTATTCAATGAATTTGAAACTATTCGACAAAATCATTTCAACAAATTTTTCATTCCATTATTTAGGTATTTCTACCTTGGACTGAACACCCCCACAGTTCAAGGTATAGGTACGAATGTTTTTGCTCTTTTTATAACTCAAACGGAGTTTCGTATCTACCTATGTGTGGTGCTTTCCATGCCCGGACAAACCCCCACATTTCAAGGTACAGGTACGAATGTTTTTGCTCTTTTTATAACATAAAAGGAGTTCGGTATCTACCTTCGTGTGGTGTTTGCAATTTTGTCGAAATAACTAATTCTCACATAAGAGTTTAGCTTAAATCAAGCTTACGAACAAGAATTATCACCTACTAAAGAGTGAATATTTCTTTCGACTATTTCATTGGATATCAACATCATTCATATGTGGCTTAAAGCTACAAAAGCTCTATGATAATACATTGTGCATTCTTATTTTCGACTCGAGTTTTCACAAACTCGAGTTATCTCGAGAGGACTAGTTAATTAATCAATCATTTCATACGATGCTTTTGTCACTTTTTCATTTTAACACAATTTTCATATTTGTTGTATGAATCAATTCTAGATTCACCAACTTCTAGTGTTAAAATTCGCAAGTACCAATTTATCATGCCATAAATTAGAATACTTAATAAATAAGACCAAGTTATTTATTTTTTCTTTTGGGGAAAATTACACTTTACCTACCGAACTATTCGCTTTTTTACACTTTGCCCACCAATCTTTTTCCGGCGACACTTTAACCCTTGAACTTCAGGATTTGTTACACTTTCCGACTTCCGGCCATCGGACTAGCAAAATGAAGGGCAAAGTCGACCTTTCAGGTATTAAATTACTTTGAAATAGGAAAACGCATAATTGAAATCATTCATAACCCTAATTTTACCCTAAAAAGCACGATCACTTCAAAAAATCGAACGAAAAGAGAAAAATTCTCAAATTGGAGCTGCATTTTTTCGCCTTTTCAAGCAATGGTTTGGAAATTACGCGAGAAGAATGATATGGACCCCCCAGAGTATGGTAAGCCTTTTGTGTTTTTTCAATTTGACGTTCTCTGTCAGTTTCGATTGCTTATTGTTTTGTTTATGATCTTGTGTTGGACTGGGGTTGGGGATTTAAGTGTTTACACCATTTTTCGTTTGTCTTGCAGGTGAAAATGATGAATGTTTCACTATTAGGATTTACCATGGCGGCCAATTTGTGGATTTTGGCTGCAAGATGTATTTGAACGGTGGAGTCTCACATGTCGATTTTTGCCATCCCGATGAAATGTCACTGATCGAGGTAATGAGCATGATAGGTGAATTAGGGTTGAATTCAATTAAAGGTGTATATTGCAGTAGGAGTGGAGTTAATGACTGCAATGACTTAATCTTGTTGGAAAATGATAATGATGTCATGCAAATGTGTTTCATGAAGGATGTAGATAGAATAGTTGCTTTGTATGTGGATCATGAAACTGAACTTCCTGCAGTTTCTGAAGGTTTGGATTTTTTAGGTGATAATGATCAATACTTGATGAATGAAAACCCTTCTGCTGTGGGTATGAATGAACTTGATAAAAGTTTGAATAGTGATTCTGATGATGATGAGCAATCTTTGGGGACAGATTCTGAGTTATCTGAGATTTTGATAGATAGTGAAGGTGAAACCTCTGATGTAGAGAATGATGATCAATTTTTTGATGACAATATTGATTTTGATGTGGAGTTTGGGGGATTAGGGACTGAGACATCTCAGAGTCAGGCAAGCAATGGAACAATGAGGACAGAATGTAGTAAAGGTCACAAGGGTCATGTAGTTTTCAATGGGAGGACAGATATGAGTGAACCTAAATTTGAAATAGGAATGTTTTTCCCTGATATGGCTCAGTTTAGGAAAGCAGTGAGGCAGAGTGCAATAAAGAATGGCAGAGATGTAACTTTTAGTATTAATGAGAAAACTAAGGTCCAAGTAAAATGTAAGCACAGTAAATGTCCATGGCTCATTTATGCAGCACTTTTGTCAAGTGAGGACAGTGTGCAGGTTAGAAAGTATAACCCTACACACAAGTGCCCTAGGAGTCAAAGAGTATCTCATGCCAACTCTAGGTGGTTAGCTGAAACTTATAAGGAAAAAATATGGTCTGACCCTACTTGGCCTGTTCATTCTATGATGAAAATCATGCAAGGTGAAAACAAGCTTCTTTTCAACAATAGCCAGCTCTATAGGGCTAAGAAAAAGGTGTTAGCATCTGGGTCTGATGGCCATCATGAACAATTTGGTTTGTTGTGGTCTTATGCTGCTGAAATCAGAGACAAAAATCCAGGCACTACAATTAAAATCAAATGTAAATTGCTTGGGGAACAAACCTCTTTTAAGAGGTTATACATTTGTTGGGGGGCTTTAAGGGATGGATTGTTAGATGGGTGTAGACCAGTGTTGTTTCTAGATGGATGTCACTTAAAGACTTCAATTGGGGGAGTCTTGTTGACTGCTGTGGGCATAGATGGAAACAATGGCATGTATCCAGTGGCATATGCAGTGGTTGAAAAAGAAAAAAAAAAATCTTGGAGCTGGTTTTTAGAGTTGTTGATTGAGGATTTGAAAATAACCAACCCATACCATTGGACCTTTATGTCAGACAAGCAAAAGGGTTTGGTAGAGTCCATTGACACTCTCTTACCTGGGGCTGAGCATAGGTTTTGTGTTCAACATCTCTATGCTAACTTTAAAGCCTCACATAAGGGTTTGGCTCTTAAGAGCTTGTTGTGGAAAGCTGCAAGAGCCACAAGAGTTCAGGATTTTCAAAAGGCTATGATTGAGCTGAAACAGAGAGATGTAGCTGCATTTGACTGGTTAAATGCTCGACCACCTGCAAATTGGTCTAGGTCTCATTTCAGCACACATTCAAAATGTGATGTGTTGCTCAATAATCTCTCTGAAAGTTTTAATGCTTCTATTGTGAGGGCTAGAGCTCAGCCAATAGTGAAGATGTTGGAGATGATAAGACTGTCTCTAATGAAGAGGATTCATTCAAAGAGGGATCAAATGAGAAAGCACCATGGGCAACTGTGTCCAAGAATTGAGAAAATGCTTGAAGATTTCAAAAAGAAGAGCATGGAGTTTGTTTGCCATTGGAATGGGGAAGATCAATTTGAGGTTGAGGGCAGCTCAGGTACAAAGTTCAGGGTGCACATTGGGGAAAAAACTTGCTCCTGCAGAAAGTGGGAGCTCAGTGGAATTCCTTGTGCACATGCTATATCAGGAATGTACTACTTGGATCATAACCCAGAGGATTATGTGGATGATGCATACAAAAAAGAAACATATCTGAGGGTGTATAGCCACTTAATGGGAACTATAGGTGGATCTGATGAGTGGCCAGAGGTGGAAAACCTACCATTGATCCCACCAGTTGTTGGAAACCTACCTGGGAGGCCCAAAAAGTATAATAGAAGAAAAGGCGAGGATGAAACAAAAGGAAAAAAGAAAGTGGTAGAAACTGCTACTGGTTTGAAACTGACCAAAAGAGGAGTTGTCATGAAGTGCTCAATCTGCAAGCAACCAAATCACAATTCAAGGGGCTGCCATAAAAACCCACAAAGTAGACCCACCAACCAAGGTCTGGATGTGCCAGCAGCTACTACCAATGGAAAGGTAATTACTTTATCTTAACTCACTTTGTGTTCTCATTACTATTATGTGTATGATATATTTTTTTTGTTTGCTTTGTCATTAGGAAAAGGAATCTCAGACAAATAAACAATCTCAGACTGAGCCAGTGATTAGTGGAAAAGGAAAGGTACATCAACTGATATGTTTTTTCTTGCTTAATTTGCAAGCAACAAAATCAGAATTCAAGGACATGCTTTGTTTTCTTGCTTTTCAGAGAAACAAAAGAGGTTTTGAAGTTACATCAACAGGTTTTGAAGGTGCACCTAATGGAAAAAGGAAGGTACATATTGAATTGTTTTACTCTTGTGAGTTTTTATGTGGCTTCTGATTATGGGAGTTAGTCACTAATGTTTTTGTTGTTTTGAAGAAGAATAAGGAAAAAGGTCTTGAAGGTACAAGTAGTGGTGTAAATGTACCTGTGGTTGTCACTAATGCTACATCAAGTGCACCTAATGGAGAAGGAAAGGTACAATGTGTAGTCCATCATCTAAATCAAAAACTGTTTTTAGTTGCCTAACTGTTTTTCTTTTTTTTTCCTAACTGTTTTTCTTATTTTTTGTTTGTCAGAGTGCATCATCTAAATCAAAACTGAACATTTTCACTCAAGAGAAAAGAATGACAAGAAGTAGCACTTGTGGAAAACCAATGGCCTTTACTCAGCCAATAGGTCAAAACCCAAGAAGCAGCAGAAATAATGTGAGATTCTCCACAACCAAACCACCTGTGACCTCAAGCCAGACTAGTGCAAATCAAGTACCACCTAAAGAACCTCCACCAAAAAGAGTGACCAGAAGTAGTACCTTCTCTCCCAAAAAGAGCCAACAGAAGTAGCATGCCCCAGAATTGGTGTACTTTGTTGGTGTTATTTTCTAAACTTTGTGTCAGTGGTGTTATTTGAAAACTTTGTTGGTGTACTTTTGATACAATTGTGGTGATTGTTCTCAGTATACAATTGGTGATTGTTATGATGACATTATGGTGATCTTTGGTTTTGATACAATGACATTTGTGATTTTCTTCAGATTATTAATGGCACTTTGGATAATGGCATTTGTGTTTGTGTTTGCAATTTTATTTGATATAGTTCAAGCAACTTTGTGTAGGTTTTGGATAGTTAGGCAAAATTGAAGCAGATTAATGTGTTGTGTTGTGTTGTGAACAGGTTTTATCACATTCAAACAAACAAATTGAACCAAATTCATTAATGACAGATTAATGACAGATCAGTGAACCAAGTTCATTACACATACACAAAGTTTACACAAAATTTGAACACGTTAAAACACTACACAAACCAAGTAAGTTTTAAGGGATCCAAGCACATTCCATACAAATTGAACAGAACAGGTCTTACAAAAGCCTTTCAATACCAAAATCCCACATTCATTACACAAACCATTTGAATCACAAACCACATTACACAAACATTTGAATAAGTCATACTTCACTAACTTAAGAACTTAGCCACACCACAATCACTCCATCCAAAACAAAGATAACAAAACAAGTCTAACACCATAGCAACTTAGCCTGCCTACTTCTTAAGAAGGAAAAACATCATGATCCATGAAACAACAATAGCAAACCACAGCCACTTCACCCTTTTTTTCTTGCTTGCCAATTCAGCCTCTGCCAGATTAATGCGTCTCAAAAGTCCAGGGATAATTTGTCGAGCTCTTGTACACATTGGAGGGTCGATCCACACAAAACGTTTGCATCCACTCTTGAAAAAATCAAGAACAAATATCAAGTCAATGTAAAATAAAAACAAGAAATCAAGAACATTCCAACCATTCTCAAAACATTTGCCACAGAAATTCGAAAAAGAAAATTCGTAGCCCTTTGCAACCACTCTTGAACAAATCAAGTCAATATAATAACAAATCAAGAACAAATATCAAGTCAATGTAAAATAAAAGCAAATCAAGAATAATCCAACCATTCTCAAAACGTTTGCCATTGAATTTCGAAACAAAAAATTCGTACCTCATTGCACTTCGCGTATCGCCTTCCAGGGTTGTTGTCCGTCCACGACGTCACCATCACCGTCTGCTTTCCACAAGTGCAATACTCATCCAAGGTCACCTCCGACGTCTGCCTCCACATTTTCTTCTCTTTTTCTTTGCCCTAGAATTCTGATTTGGGGATTTAGGTATTGATCTTCATAAAATCTGATTTGGGTATTTTATGGAGAGGGTCGATTGTTTTGTATCTGTAAAAGGACAACCTTGTCCAAATTTAATACCTGAAAGGTCGACTTTGCCCTTCATTTTGCGAGTCCGATGGCCGGAAGTCAGAAAGTGTAACAAATCCTGAAGTTCAAGGGTTAAAGTGTCGCCGGAAAAAGATTGGTGGGCAAAGTGTAAAAAAGCGAATAGTTCGGTAGGTAAAGTGTAATTTTCCCTTTCTTTTGTGATGACGGCGGAAAATTCAAACAAAGCTGGAAGAGAGGAAAGGGTCAACCAATAGATGACAATAATTGTAAGATGACCTTTATTAAGGTCTACTTATGCTAAGAATATATCATATTTTGACATAACATATTGTCGATGATCACAAACTAATCTAAGTTCGGCCTTACTTAATTAATGGTTCGAAAACTAGATTCTTATGGATGTCTTGAGCATGAAGAACATCCACGATCTCCAATATTCATTTTTAGCACACTAACTTGTCATTTCCTTCAACACTTTAAGTCGAGTAATTCCACAAATACTTCCTTTCCATATTAGGGTTGTAGGACAACATTTATAAGCGCATATGGGTCAAGTGGCTCTTGTCCTTATCCGCTATAAATGTGGAACTTTAATCAAGTATGTACTCGAACCACGACAGAAAATTCGAGCTCTGACAAGTATTATCTTGTCCTCGACAATTCGCACTATCTTTTACCCCTATTCAGAAGCTAATAACCTTCGACAAAGTACCTGGGTTTGTCACCATCGTAACAACATCCCTTGGGCCTCTTGGCTTCCCATCTTGGTTTTCCATGAAAAGCGTTTTTAAGCTTCTTACACGAGCTCGGCTCGTTCAAGTTTGCTTTAGCCTCTATCTCATTCTATTTGGCCAAAACTTCCAATTTTCGATCATCTTCTTCTATCTGAAGATGAACTATGAAATCCTCAAGTTTCATCTCTTTGCTTTTTATCCATGAGATAACTCTTGTAGTCATTCCACAAAGGAGATAACTTTTCAATTTCAAGTTTCATCTCTTTGAGTTTATCCATGAGATAACTCTTGTAGTCATTCCACAAAGGAGACAACTTCCCAACAATAACCTCCACATAAAGGTTTTGTTCACAATCAACTCCTCGGCCATCATATCATTAAGGATTTGAATCTCTTGACCTTGATTAACCACCAACTTTGTGTCAATCAGAATTTACCGATAAAAGTTTTAGTTCCTTTATCTTCCATTTTGTACGTTGCTTCCAAAGAGTTCCACAACTCCTTATACGTCTTAACCGGGCTATACACATTATATAATGTCTTTTCTAGTCCGTTAAGTATTAGATTTCTACAAAAGAAATCACTATGATGCTAAACATCCAAGACCATACGTTTTTGGACGTTAGTCTCACTTTCGGGAACGATTAAAGTGTAAAACGGGAGAGGGAGACAATTGAGAGGTAGTAAAACATCCTTTGTTGCCACCTCTTGAAAATAGAACCAGCTTTGTCGGATAAAGCATCCTTCACAGTGAATAGCTTCCCTCCAACAGACTAACTAGCATTGTTGAACTTTGGCGATCTCTTTCCTTGGACGGGAACAACTACCATTAATGGATTAGTAGCCAGTGTAGTGGTCGATTGAGCACTTGAAGAAGACTACCATTCTTGGAGGTTTGTTTTCCATCGGTTGCCATCTTATGAACTGACAAATATTTCGTCTTAAGATTGTTATTTCTGTGGTATGTGAATCTCAATAATGGCTTAAGAAATCAGAAGGAAAATGACAAAAAAACCAATAAAGTCGAGGCACGTAAGGTACGCTCTCCTTAAGACGAAATAGTCCCGTATATTACCCACGGTTCACGGCTAACGCCTCCAAGATACAACGACTTCGATTTGTGTATAGCGGTAACTCAAATACACAAACCTTCGGCAAACTATACTCAAGTTTCGGAACTCTGAAGATAAGAAATAACACAAAGAACACAAGATGAATATGAACTTTGTAAAAGGATGCAAAGACTCTTAGAAAATTTTATGTATATGACTTTTTCACTTCATGGGTATTTATAGATGTTATAACACATCTCCAGGGGGTTCAAGGCATCAAAAGGCACCTTTTGGGACGTGCTCGGTCGATTAAAACCGGTTAGGAACCATTCCAATACGAACAGGTGCTTCAGTGTGGCGACCTCGTCGCGCCCGCGACGGCTAGTCGCGTTTCACAGAACCTACGAAAGAAGGACTGTTGGCCCGTGACAGCTGACGAGCCCGCGACATGCCTGGCGCCCAGAGTATCGCGCTCGTGACAGGCGTCGCGCCTGCGACGGGGCCTGGCGCGCAGCTGCACTCTAGGAGCTCGTACGCGTTCGTTCGGACTCGGAATTTAGTTCCGTTTTTTCCTACTTGTCCCCAACGAGCCTTTCTACAATTCTAGCATACATAATGCTTGATTATGGCTCATTTACTTTTTCCAAACATTTATCAAAACATAAATGTTTGTGAACCCTTACAACATTTGAGTTATTTAAACTCAATTATTCAACATATAGCACTTAGAATTAATTTCTCATTCACCTTAAAATGGTTTTTGAGAATTTTCTAAGTCTTCCACTTAAGAAAAATGAAACCGTTGAATCGGTACAAAATCAATTTTTCTTACAAAATTATCCCTGGATACGTAATCTACCAGGTTTAAGCCTGTTTGTACATATCAGAACCACAAAAACCTTGTCGTCAAATAACTTTTTGACACCACAAGAAGACATTGGAACATGGAACTGCTGTAGGAACTGTTTAATGAAAAGGAAATCCATGTCATACTCAGTATCAAATGACTAGACCCCACAAACCAGACTGACTTCTTTGTCAAAGGTAAATTCTTAGTGTCCTCATCTTATGGTAAGTTGGTAGCTGAAAAATGGAGAGTGATAGACTTGGCTGAAGGAAGTAAAGATCATCATATGCACACTACAACAAGGAAAAGGAGCTGAGGACTCAAAATCAAAAGAAACTGAAGCACTTCCTATGGAAATGCATGCAAAACATTTTGCCTGTAAACTGCAATCTGATCGGGAAGGGGCTGGAGTTGGACAACACCTGTTTGAATTGTGGAGAAGGAAGAGACTAAAGCATCTCTGTTTTTCATGCCCTAGAGCTTAGAAGATTTGAAGGCTGACACCAATCACCTGGGATGGTCTTCAACCTGAAACTGACATGTTGAAAGACTGGTGGACAAAAATCTGCACCCTCAGCAAAACCACCATCTCAGAGACAAAAATCCAACTGTCAACTTATATTCTCTAGTGGTTATGGAAAGTCAGGAATTTGTGGGTATCAAAAAGACTTGGAAAAGCTCTAAATTAATTGTGTATGCTGCTTTTAGTGAATGGCCTGAATTATTATAAAAGAATTTTGTCCCTTTTGTTCTTGTATTTTAGGACACCTTATGGTGTTACTCTTGGCCTTTCTTTTGGAAAGTCTTGGACTACTTGGCCTGCGTGGTTTGTGGTTGGTACACCCTTTTTTGAGCTATACATTATATCTTTTCGAATAAAAAAAAATCCTATATTATGCTTCTACGGTCCGGTGAGGGTCCAAAACCCGAGCCTATTAGGATAGAGCGGCCAGGGAAAGGAAAGCCCCTGAGGCTACTTTCCTTCTATTCGGAGAAGGCCGACCCCAAACTGGGGATATGGGAGGTGAATAGGAGCGCTCGTATTAACGACCCGCAAATCAATATTCAACCCGTTGTTTAGGCTTTACAGGTTATATGCATTACAAGAAAAGAACAGAAAACAACAACAAATAGAGCTAGAAAGAGGCTGAAAAAGCCTCTAAAACGCCCTTAGAAATGGCTGTTATCTTTTGGCCAAGAAAGAATATTGTTATATTTGCAGTCTTTCGATGAAAAGAGATTGAGAACATGCTTTTATAATAATTCATCCAATAATTTAACATAATCTAGTATAGTAATTATCCTATCCCTAGTATTCCAATTAAAATATATTTCATATAAACAACAATTTAATCAAATTATTTGATTACCAATAAAGAACACGATAAAACTTTCCAAAACGGCAACATGCACACATCTTACATTTTTTGACCAACAATATTAAAGTTGAATTTCTAAGCAAATTCTTCTAGTTAAATTCTGATAAAGGTATGTACGTTTTGACAAGTAAAATCTCACTGGGGACTAAAAATTATATTGTGCTCAGATAATTCACCTATAATATTAAAGTTAAATTCCCCAAATAATAAATATTGGTAAGTAAATTATAAAAATGGTAGGTTAAATCCGATAAATAAAATTAAAAACGTTACTGAAAAAAGATCCAACGATACTCAGCCTGAAACATCAACATCAATCTGTTCACTACTATTTATATGATAGTAATTGAACAATCTGAGCATAAAGAAATTGACTGCTATTCCAGTACATGTGGAATGCAGGCACGAATTAAGGAATTTATTATAATTTTCTTAACCAGGGAATTCATTGCCCAAAATTTTTGAACAAACATCACTTTGCCTATATCACAACAAACACCTCTCACAAAAGCAAAACTCACCTGTAAATGGAAACAAAGTCAAAATCTAATGTTCCTTCATAGAACCGAATCAGTTATACACGACCCACTTGATGCTCGCTCACATAGTAATGCCACCATTTTCGTTTTCTGTCATCACCAAAGAAAAAAAGAAAACTGTAATCCTCATTTACGAAACAAGGTACAACCACTGTTTGTTCAACTACAAGACACATGTAAGCAAATCCACAATTTGGTGATCAACCTATATTCAGTAAAGCTCATAGTACTTGGACTGGATTTACAACATCATGTTACCAAATCTTTTAACAGTAAGTAGGCAACAAATAAGACTTCGGAATCACGTACATGATGCAAAATTTCTTTATTTAACAACATTTAAGTTATACTAGTAAGGTCACGCACGAGGAAAAAGTAAATTTTCTAAGAATTTGGATATGTTAATAATTTAATTTGACAAAAAATATTATTATGATATGCATTTGAGTAGTATTTAAAAATCATACATATACAAATATTGTTGGGAAAAAAACTGCAACAAATCTTATCAAATATTCATTTTGGAAGTTTGAGTCAATCTAATGCTAATTCAACAAAATTTTCAAGTAGAATTCAATGTAGACTGAAGACAAATGAACAAACACTAATATGGATGTGAAATTTTTTTATTTACACTAACACAATGTCATAAAATCACGACGCTTTAAATTTCCACTAGGACTCGTATGGGAATTCGGATCTGATAAAGTTTCTTTTGCCTAAAACAGTATTGTAATATTAATAAAACAGTCTCGAGTTGTTTGATTAGTTAATATCTATTACCATTTATACTTTCTATTTTTATTTATCTTCATTAACATTTTACTTATTAATCATCCTATCTCCTTTTACAAATTAAATATGTACAATTTGAAATAGGTGTACCAAGGAAGTTAAAATATATTCTATTCACATATCATAAAATTACAACGAAATTTCTTATATTAGCAGAAGAATGACCAAAAAAGAAAAGAATTTATGAATTCAACAATAGGAAGTTATTGCGGAAAAAAAATATAGTAAAATTGTGATTGTCTTTATAGAAAATATTTATTTGTGGGAAGATAAATATCATTTAATAAACTGAGAAAGATAAAAAAAAATAAAAAAAAAAAATAAAAAAAATAAAAAAAATCGATAGTTCATTCATTTGTCTCTCTCTAATCGATAGTTCCTTCCAGTCACCTATATACAATGGAATTGAGCAGGCACCTAATAGGACAGAGATGGTGGTTTGTCTTTGTAAATTAGTAACTCTGTTCTCCAATTAATCCATGAGACATATATAAGTTCTCTAGTTCTGTAGTTTAAGTATGCATTGTGTTATGCTAACAAGATCAAACTGTCATGAAACGTGAAGGAAAAAAGAATAACAAGCATAACTTACGAGATGACCGAGAAATGTGCCTGAGATATGGTAATATGCTTACTCGAATTTATTAAGCCAAATATGAAAGTCGAGCCATTAAGATCCATCCTCTTCCTCATCCATCTCGTCAAGTATGACGTACTTTGGAGTTGCACCATCAGCTGCTGAACTAACACTTTCACCCTTTTGTAACTTATGGTACCTAATTGACAAAATTAGTGAAATTTAACAACAGTTAAAGTGAATGAATTACTGTTATTTCCCAGATTGCTTTTCAAGATTATCTCACGTGCATTAAGCCATAAGAATACAAAAATTAACTATCATATACTTATTGTTAGAAACTAAAACACATAATACAACGATTGATTCAATTTCTGATAGCTCAGAAGCAATATATTTGCGACAATATGATAGAGGAAAGTCTTGCTATAGTTGAATAGCAATGCATTTAACTTCAGAAGTTTTCAAATCTCCAAAGAAGTCCTTACCTAGATAACAACGGTTCGTATCACTTGGACCAAAGAGGCTTAATAGAAAACTATTTTACTTCTTTTTCATCAACNAAAAAAAACAACAACAACAACAACAAAGGATTCATGAAGGCAACAATACCATCCTACACCTACACGTATATTATTAAATACAGATGATCACATAAAAATGACTGAGCTAAAAGCTGTTAGTAGGATGTTGATATCATGAGATAACAATTTTTGCTTGAAAAGATTACAGGTTGATAACTTACTTGTACCAGTTGAATAAACTGACACCAACCATTATAGTTAGAAGGCCAACTCCTTTCAGCCAAGTAAACTCGTCATGGAAATACAACACTGCCACCTAAATAGTATATATAAAATGTTCGGAATCAGTCTGAAAAACTAAACAAAAGAACACAACTGCCAAGACTATTGCATAACAGGAAAATAGAATTACAGGACAAATATTCTAGCACCTCTATCGAAATTAAAATCGTAAAGACAACAAATATATATATATATATATATATATATATATATATATATAGTTAATAAACGACATGATTGAAACTTAATTTGTAAGTAATCAAATAAGGTTACCCACAAAAGATTGATATCTAAATCTACTTGGTATTCCCATTCTATTATTCCCCTTCACGATGTGATCTGAGAGTGAAGACTGCTCGCCCTCCCTTGAGAAATAATTGGTAACTAACTATTCTTTTTGCAGTTCATGCAGAAATTTACACCACTTGTGAGATTTACATACTTTAATCAACTAAGAACGAGAAACGGAGAAAGCAAAAGCATGAATGCTATCACAAGGATGATTTTGAAGTTTTCCGAAATAACCAATTATTCACAATTCTATTGTCCTTAAAATAGAATGATTGAACAGTCCTGAAAGATCTCACTTCTTTGTATATTTTCAAAGAGATTATTAAATTGAGAACATTTATGAAAATAGTTTTCTTTATTCAAGCCCAAAGAAATGTTATGAAGGCATAGAACCACCAATACTAAAGCTGAGAAACTTGCACGATCATAATTGATGATCTCATGAAGGTAATAAAATAATAACTGCAGATGAAGCTATTCTCTATAAACTTCGAATAATGAATTATACCAAATGCAGTCTGCTAAAATCTAAAAGAAGAACCTCAGCTGTACACGTCATCAATTAAATGGGAAACAAAGTTTTCAACTAATAATTTACAGCAGGTCTAGTGAAATTAAAATTGCAAAACCGTAAGTAGTCTTCTATACCAAAATAGTTACAGCCTCCTTCACAACGCCTGCTATTGTAACTGTAACCGCACTAGTTACTGACACGAGAATATATTCAGTTAATACCTGCAGCAAGACCAAGAATGGGTTCTAATTAGTTTGTTTAGTCCTTTAATTTTGAGATCATGAGGCCCGTGAACAAAGAAGATACATGCAGCAAACACCGACGTAATTTTAAGAGCTTATTTGAGTTGTTAACAATTTCCAAAATTAATTAACTGTTTGAAATACTCAGTTCAGATAATGTCAGAGAAAGAAAACAAGTTGGTAGTATCAATATAACACTGGGCATGCATCACATTACACCAAATTCAAGACATTGACTTTAGAATTCTTTACCATGAAGAAAGCCAAAGTCCCACCAAAAAACATCAGCAGACTACTTTTTGCAATATGCCATGAGCTGTTAAAATAATCACTCTCTCTGAAATCTTGCCAAGGATCAAACATCAATGAAAGTAGAGCAGTTGCAATTGCCATAACAGGAGTCACGTAGCTCATCAAAGTAAGCGGATTTTTAAGACCTAGAAAAAGGGGGAGTGTGAATATTCAAGCATATATAAAACAAGCGGAACAACTTTAAATATCAATGTCCTCAACAAAAATCACAGTCTGTTACATAATAGAGCAGTCACGTGGAGCAGATTTGTTTATAGGACCATTTACACAATGTTTACATCTAAGAAAATCTAAATTCATCTACCAATCATATTAAGGGAGTGCTTGCAATCACAAGCACCAAAAAAAAAATACTAATGTTACATCAAGATATAAAATAAAATAGATGCGACTGGGAATATATTCAATTCCATTTATCATCCACCAATAAAATGCATTATTCATCCATTCACTTTTCTCTGCCCAATTTTCCAACACAATTTTTAAATTGAAAATCAATCGTTACACACATTAACTATAAAATTTACATTAATCTGTCACATATTCATAATAACCAATCCATATTTTATTATTTCCCTATCACACCACAATTAAATATTACACATTAAATTACCTCACTTAATATTATCAAATTCATTAATGCTTCCACTAAATCTTCTTTCACCAACAAAAACATTTCATCCATGAAAGCATATCCTATTGCACCTTAATCCTCTGGCTTAAAAAATGAATTTAGTATCGCCAAATTTTAATTCTGCTCAATTTCATGCAAATCCAACAAAGGATGAGGACAAGTATGTTCTGATAAGTCTGGTTTTGACCTTTTAACCAACAAATAAGCACTCCACCATTTATTTACTATATATATATATATATATATATATATATCAATTAAACTACCTTTTAGTTTCTAATCGCAAACACTGTCCTATTATCACTTTCAGCAACTTTTTTGCTTCCCTATAATAAATAACTTCTACGAGAAGCTTCATTATCTAACACACCCTAATTCCTCCGGCAGTAGTGTTAAGTGTGTTACCAACCTTAGGGTTTTGGATGAATATATCAAGTCACTTATGAAGATGCCCATATATATAGACTAAAAGACTTTAGTATATATGGGTTGCGCCTATAATATACTTAACACCCCCCTTCAACCTCAAGGTAGAGGTGGAGGATCCGAAGCATTGCGTTTGAGCAAGTGAAGCATCTGCTGCTCTCTAGTCTCCGCTTTGGTGAAAAAATCAGGCACTTGCAATTATGACGGCACATAACAATTTGATGACAATGAGACTTGTTAAAGGAAGCATCAACACTATTGTGTTTTATAAGTTCATGCTTCAGTGGATCATTGGCGATTTGGATTGCTCCAGTATTATCACAAAGATGAGGTGTATGAGCAAAGAAGAGGTGTAGTTGTATCAAATTGGCTAACAACCATCGAAGTCATATAATTTTTTAGGTACAGCTGCCTGCTTCTTCTTCTTGGACTTTTAGGAGAAGAACCAAGAAAAATGCAATAACCAGTGACACAATGACGATCTTACTCGCCCAATCGCCTAAGTAGAGTTCGAGTAAGCATGGAGCTGAAGCTCAAGTAGAATTCGAGTAAGCATGGAGCTGAAGCGAACTATCACGAGCATATAATGAAGACTGAGATGATGTTTCCCTTAAGTATCGTAGCACATGAAGAAAATGCCAAAATGAACCGAAGTAAAAGCACTCACAAAGTGACTCAATATATGAACATGAGCAACGTCAGTCATGGTAACAGAAAGGTAAACGAGACTGCCTACAATATGTCGATAGCGAGATGGATCCTCAAGAGGCGTACCATCAGTGGTGCAGTTGTCCAATTATCAATAATACCGGAAAGAACAAGAAAGTCTTGTATGTATTTAGACTGAGAAAAGTATAGCCCGAGACAGAAGCCATCACCACAATGTCCAAAAAGTAGCTTCGAAGACCCTAATCGTGCATATGAAACTGCTGACCAAGTTGCTTCTTGACATGAGAAATATGTTATGCATCATATCCCGTAATCAACATATCATTAACATATAGAAGTATACTACACCCACGTGGAGAGATGAATAAACAAGGCAGGATCATAATCACACTCGGGGAAAAACCAACAGCCCGTACGACAGAAACAAAACGCTCAAACTAAGACGAAGACAGATGAGTGACGACAAAAGACAAGAACTGAATAGTGTCCGGATCAATTCGGAATAAACGAACCTAACCCCGACAAGTGGCAGGTCTGAAAAACGCCAAAAGGGGACAGCAAAAACCTCCAAAACAGGAAACCGGGAGCACTAGCAATTTCTCGAAATCCCAAGCCCACGGAAGTTCGCGGGAAAAAATCCCAGAGGGTCAAGCGTCGGCGAGTGAAATAGCCGGCAGCAAGCTTTTCTGGCGGGTGCGACCCACACTCGAGGTATTTTCCGGCGAGATTTGGCAGGAGAGTGAATATTGGCGAGATAACTGATGTGGGAGGTGATTATTGAAGGAAAATAAAATAAAACCCTATTTGGTTTACTCTGATACCATGTTACAAACCTACGGTTTTCTGTGTTGATTTTTTACCATATAAATAGAGTTATTCCTGGGCCTTATAAGCGTTGGCCTTGATATACCTAACAGTTACTATATAACTTAGCATGCAAACATGCCACGGTGTGATAGCTAAAAGATTCACTACATACTACTTTGAAGATTAAGCTATCTCGTAACACTTACCATAGGTTTCTTTCTTCATGCCAGATTTGTATCAGCACCAGCATAAGGATCAACGAAGCACGAAAGCCAAATCAAAGACATGTGAGAATGTAAGCAAGTAATTTAAAATAAGAAAAACGAATATAAATTCATAAACTACAATTTTAACAATATGAATCATACGTAATGTTACTCATACCTGTAGAAGAATTTGAGTCATTGTCCAGCGGAAGCCAGACATGACAGCAGCAAGTGTAACAAATATGAAGCCCCAAAACTCAAATTCTGTCTCTTTTGCAACTGCATATCAGAAAACAGGAAGGAGCGAGCAATAAATTAAATATGATAACATAACTTATTTCAGAAGACTTCATGTTAATTCAAATAGATAGAAACACTATTGAGTAAAATAGTATTCATCTAGACATATTGTCATATTAGCTGTTATTCCAGCGTCTTTCTATTGTTCAATTCTTTTACTTTTGGAATAGAATCAGTGTGAAAATTCAACCATGGCAAAGGATTCTTCAAGATAGCCAAATTTCTTGTCTTTTCTTTTTCCTTTCCTCCTATGCTCTAAAAACTGATATCTTAAAATTGAAACTTTTGTAATAATTTCTTTTTTATAGATAACGATTACTGTCTCAATCTTTAAATTATTCAACATCAATCAGCCACATACTGACAACGTCAGATTATTGCTTGGGTATTGGAAGCACATAATACCAGTTCCACACTTTGCACGCATTTGGATGATTTTCTTTGCTTAATCTTATAGTTCGTACGGATCGCAAGGTGGGGGGAGGTGCAGTTAGCAGAGAGAATAAATCCAGAAGCGCATTTGAAAAAATTACATGCAGCTGGAGCAAGACATATCGAAGATGAAGCAGGGATAAAGTATCCCTAGGGATGACCAGGATCAGGTAAGTGCTCGATATGCATATTATTATTATTCAAAATGAAAGTCAAAGTACATGTCTGACCATACTTCCCAAATGATATGTTCCCATGTTTACCACAACACCACCACTATGCACAAATTCAGCGAAAAAACATAAATTCTCATACCGGTTAATAAGATACCAATTGAAATGACTAAGATTATGCCGAGCAGCTTAGCACTTGGCGACTCCAATCTTCAAGAAAACAAAATTATTGTCAAAAGCGAGCCCAAATGAACTAGAGATGTAAAACAGTTTGACTGTAGGGGAGCAGCAGAGAAAAGTTGATCACATAAGCATGATCTTAAAATAGCACGAGGCATATAAGAGTTGAAACATTATAGCACTAAGGACAATACCAAAGTTGTTTACTCCATCTGTGTTAGCATGTCAAACTAAATGGCAAGATATTTCTTCATAACTATATATGAGAAAAGATTCAAATGCTTCATGTGGTATGCTGCAACTTCTGAATTCACAAGCATTCTGATGCTCTTTTAACATCTTTACAGAAACTACACCTATAAATTTCTCAGAGGTATTCCCGGAATTCCTTCTCATAGTTGAGTAAATTGAAATATTCATTTAAGCATACGTACTATTAAAAAGAAAATAAGCAAATTATGTTACAAATACTCCATCATCTTGTCATAGACTAGCCCCAGTCCAGAATTAAAGTGTAGTATAATGTAGAGGCTAGTCTAAGACAAGATGGATGGCATATTCATAATATAACTTGCCTATCCTTTGCTTTTTAATAGCACAGATATGCTTAACCTATAATTTTCTTTAACTCGAAGAGTAGCAAGGAACTTGATATTCAACTCTGCGACGCAATTTTACATGTCAAAATGATTTTTTTAACAACATAGATCATATCAAATGAGAACTACTCCAGTAAGGATAGCTTTTCACCCTCCTGACAGTCTAACTAGGAAAAACAACAGAAATAAGTCTGCAAGGTCACAGAACTTCCCAAGGACTTTTGAATAGATGAAAGTAGTGCAAGTTGGATGTGATTTCTGGATGAACCATAGGCAAATTAATAGGGAAATCCAGCACTCCAGTATACCAAACTTACAAGACTAAAGGTATATATATCAGAGTGTAGCGATTATGAAAAAGACACCAGTAGGAGAAACTGATGGAGTTAAGGGTAGGAACAATCAGTGAACATAGATCAACAACAAGTACTAAGAAAAATCTAATAAACCTAGGTGTCAAAGTTTCTATTCTGAACAACTTCTAGCTGAAAGCCGCCAACAACTATCATTTCTCAATAAATCCTAGCTAACACCAAAACTTGGAATATCTAATATTTAAGCTAATGGTTTGAGGCCCACAATAATAATTACTCTTTCTAGCCAAATAAACACAGTGAGTTAATTAAATAAAATATTGACGACGCAACTGATAACAACAATTCTCTCCCCAGTGCTTATATTCATTCCCAGAGCTCTGTATTATAAAACAGAGCAAAACCTTCTACCACAGAGATGCCAACCCATATTTGGCAAAGGCATATCATATGCATAAACCCTTAAATGGACATTTAAACATCTCGCTTAACCCTTTAATTCAAAGATAGGTGAAAGAAGAAGCATATAATGCTAAAAATAGGGCCAACAATCAATCATGACATGACCCAGTATGGCTTTAAGAGACAAATGACAGATATGGGATGACACAACACGTTTCGAGCAAGAAACAATAAAATATATTTGACTTCGACTAAAACAATAGTGAGACACCTAGCAGGTCATGATGTGAAGTAGCCAGCATAGTTCATGGAGAATTACCTGAACGCAAAGGCAAAAAGAAGGAGAAATATTGGTGAAGCCGATTTACACTGCACGCATAAAGATAATGGTGTCAAATATCTGGAGATGCTTGTGCGATAAAGAATTTGTAACATGAGAGTAAATTCGGAAACTAACTAAGCGATAGAAACAACGATCAGTAGGAGAAAATATTAAAAAACAAAGTCAAATTTGCAAAGCAAATTTAATACAAAATTGAAGTATGAATCATTATATAAGTTCACAGAGGAAGAATAACGAACCATAGTGGCAAATGTAACAGAGATAAAAACCAGGGATGCATTGCTTAGATTTACATCCATTGCTGTGCTGAGAGCCGTAGGTACAACTGTGAAAGGCAAAGGCCATCTGTAGCATTAGTTGTCAGAGAAGTTAATGATACTACTGAATTTCAATAACAAAAGGAAATGAAAGAATGATGGTGCTTTCAAAAATAATGACACGTCAGTTTAAGTGACAAATTCATGTCAGAAAAGATTAGTGCCAGAAATAATTTCAATTGAGAAAAATCTCTGTTTAATTTGTACACTTAGCTTGGCCTTTTCAACAGCATAAACACCACCTAGAAAAAAAATAAAAAATATTGACCCCCGTTTTCTATGTTATGCAGGAACGAAGAGTCAAGGGTAATCTTCAGACTTCAAAGGTAGAGCTTCATCATATTGTTATCCAGTTCACATGTAGTCAACTATCAACATGATCAATTTGAATCAAATACTGAACCAGTTTCTTTTGTGAATTTATACTCCCTGTTTTCATCAGTACTAAGAAGCAAACTTCTGTCATTACTCAAACTTCATTTGTCTCATTCAGGCAGTTTTAGGGATCCAGATTAAATGAATACTTCTCTAAGCTGAGATGAATCCCGCAATCAATGCATTGAGAAAAAGAAACACACCTTCTTGAAATAAGGAAGTTTAAGGATAGTAGAAACCAGAGCCTCTAAATGCAGTATGCTGTTATATCAGCTACTGCCGCTAATCTCAATTGCTAATACAGGTTGACTGTTTCGCTCCCCATATCCTCCTTATGGACATATTAAATATATCAATTCTATGAGTGTAACAAGAGAGGAAGAAAATATAACCCAAAGAGGACAGCACATGCATAACTGGTGCCATTCTCTAAGTTAAAAGAATTTATTCTGTCCAGTGAAGACAACCTGCTAACATCACTTTTTTCCCGTTATGGAAAGAAGGGAATCGTATCAATTAGCTCTAACCTTTTTCCAAGCACAAAATGAATATATATGGGCACCTCAAATAATCTTGCAATTTAAGCATAAATAGCATAGACAAAACAAAGTCAGTGAAACTCGGGCAACCACTATTTAAGATTGTTATTGTGCACAAATAGAAGCTATTGACTGTACACGGGATACACATGTTGAAGACATGTAAGTAGTACATTATCAATGATTGCGCACTAAGATTTCCCTACCTCTAACAAAGTAATCCTTCCATGACATAGCAGAGGGATGGAATCTGTCAGACCAAAACCATGTAATGGCCTTGGACAACACAGCTTGCATGGTAAAGTGGATAGTGTTCATCAATAATGGGGCGGGGAATTTCCCCATGTTATCCCCTAACAAAGTTTTATTGTACCTGCACCAGAAGTATTTTTGTTTTAAAGAAAGAATAGAAAAGTAAAGGAAAAGGAAAGATTAAAGGAGTAAATAAAAATAAGACATAAATATCAAGCTTCAACAGTATATCAGTATCAAGAAGTATCGACAATGAAAAAAGACCGAACTTACAGTGTGAGGAATGTACTGAATGTATACCAAACCAATATGAAAAACAAAGTCTTCAGCACATCAGCAACAGAAATAAGGTTTTCTGCCTTTTTCCTGGATGCCGAAATGTAATCGACATGATTACGGCCATCGGTGGTATGATCATAACTTTCGATATCGTGGCTGTTTTCCATGTCAAAAGGCACATAACTATCGTTTTGGTTTCTCAAGCCATTAGTATAAGCAATGTCAGTAGCTACACTGTGCTCCATCTTCTGTTGTAAATTGCTAGAACAAATCCTTCCTCGTTCTAAAAGCTCATTTTCTGGCCCACTAGCATGAACCAAAGGCAGCTTAAAGTTAAAGTCGTTTTTATTCACCCCCTCACTTTTTAAAGGAGCTGACTGTGGGATTCCACCCTCATCACACCAGCCCGAAAAGGAAGGTTCCCGCCTAATTCCTACTGCCTTATTTTTATTCGGATAGTCTTCATTTCCAGTTTCCGCAACACTTGGTGAATTTCTCTCTACCATTGCCTTCACGTGATTGTTTGCAAGCCATTGAATCCTAGACCCAACACCACATGACCCCTCAGCCAATAATTTATTTTCCCGTATGATTCTGTGAAATTAAGCAGGAAAAATTTGATCATTGCAAATAAAAGTAGAGTATTTGGCAGCTGAACCAATAATTAATTTTCTTGATAAAACATATCTCTAAATTCAAAAGTAACAAATCCAAATGGAAACAAATTAAGTATAATTTGAAGCAACGAAAAAATTATTGCTCCAAACAACTCTTGCACCGTCATCTGAATGACTACATAGAGAACGAACGAAAACTACTCAGTTCTTCTCTCTACATCATCGGAACAACTTAAAACTGACCATTCCAGGCGCATATAGAGTACGTAGAATGAAAAAAGTGCAAACTTATTCTGCAGTAGGATACGACTAAAATTTAAAAAATGATAATAAACTGATAATAAGAGTGCGAAACATACAGCACAAGAGTGTTGGAGATCAAAACTGACCCGAAAACTTATTCAATGTTTGTCGTAGATCTTCTCAATTAGGAATGACTTTTTTCAAGGGAAAAGGATATATGGTGAGGAAGGCCGATGAGATCTGTATCCACCACCGTTGGTTGATTCGGTTAAGGGTTTAGGTTAGGTATGTAGGTGAATTGCTGTCGGCAGTTGCAACTTACAACTGTTGATAGTTTGCCGGTCGCGTTCGTCTGTTAGCTCAAACCTAAAAAAAACAAAAAGAAAATAATTAAATAAAAACTAAAACAAGAACCGACTAGACCCGGCCCCAGGGTCAATGATTTTTGAACCGGCCCGAACAGTTGACTATGGGCTTTAAACTAGCCCGTTATATGATCTTGGCCGTTTCCAGTTCATACATTTTAGAAATTTTCAAACCGTCGGTCCCTGTTTTGATACCGAAGTGGAATTGACCTGACGCAGAATTTTAGATTTTAAAAAATTCGAACTTTTAAAAAAATATGAATCTTTTTTGCCAATTTCGGGCCGGGTTGAAAACGGAATCTCTCATCGGATTGATTTGACCATCGAGATTCAACTATTACGTCCTTTTTAGTCACGAACGGATTGACCACCTTACGCCTCGAACAATTCGCTTCCCTGAGCATCCAATAACCTACAATACGCTGGGAGGGGGTCCTTGCGGAAAAATCTCCGATCCTCTAGTCAGAACTCGCTCGAATGTATACTTTAAGAATATAAGAAATAAGACGTAGAATGTGTGTGTTTGATAAGGGAGAATATGTCGTCCTTATATAGGACTGAATACCTTGGGGCCGAAGAGAGTTATTGTTGGGGAAGAGACCCAATCGGATTCTACTTCTCTAACTTACCACGTCTTTATCTTGGTAAGACTCCTTGAGCGAGCGGTTCTTTCCTTCTTACTTGGATTCTATTAGGTTCTATTAGGAACGTCAACGACATGCACAGTATTGAACTTATCGAAATAAATCCTAACACAGCGGAATCTACAGTTAGGATTAGGACATTACCTTTTAATATTTTTGCCGACTCAGAGACGTTTCTGATTTCCGTTGATGGAGATCGTCTGATTACCATAACCCAATAGGCGGATGGGTTTGACCTTTCTCGATTCTGATCGAGTGTTGAATCACGAACGGATCACCGAATCGAACTTGTCAGGCACGAGCCGGTTGGGCAAGGTTCGGATCTCATCTCGGGTCAATGGGTGCAGCGGCTCGGTCGCAGATGCTGGTCGCGGGTTGGCGCTGGTACTAATCGCAGACAGTTCGCGTCAGGTGGCTGGGACTCGCGAACGCGCGGACAGGCTCGGGCAGAGGCGGGATGCGCGGGCCTGTGGCACGAGAGTCCTAGGCCGACGCTGACTGGGCGTGCGAGGTCTGGGTCACGCGGTCCTGGGCGCGTGAGGAATCTTGGTCGAGCACGAAGTGCGGGCGCGTGGAACACAGACGCTGGGATCGGGTCGCGCAGATCACGAGCAGGGACGATCGGCCGGTGATGCGCAGGACTGCAGGGCGTTGCTGGGACCTTCACGTGTGGCTCTCCTGCATGCGGTTGAGGGCCTATGCTCGCAGCTGCGTGCGGCTGGGCTCGGGAAGGGTTCTAGCGATGTCAGGCACGGTGGCTATTTCCAGTGACTCCTGGCGGCGGCGGTCAGCGGCAGGTAGTGGCTGGAATATTTGATCTTTAAGGTTTGATAAATATCACCTTAAAATCTTCTAATGAATTACTTAAACACCTACTTCAATTAATCTTGGTGGTGCGATTAATTGAATCTCCTAAACACTCGAACAAGACAATTTTTCTCTCTTATGAAGATGGAAAAATCGGCCAACATAACATATGCCAAGAGATTGGGACATGGTGTATTTATAGGCTCCATCAGTGACCTTAAGGAAGTGCTAAATATGAGCTTATCCCATTAGGCAAAGGAATCATAATTCTACTCCCCATGTCTTTCCAAACTAGGATAAAACTCCTTCTACCAAACACTACCTTCTAGAAGACTCTTTAGTCTCCTAACCCTAGGTAATATTCTAGAAGGGAATATTCTTTTCCTAATGGAATATTATTTATGGAATAAAATTACTTCCTAAAGTCCTAATTAGAATTCAATAATAATACATCCCACTAGAGTAATATTATTGCTCCCCCTATTTAGCTCTTTAATCAATTAAATCAAACCTCCACTTGATTAATAAATATTAATCTAATTGACCGATTTACCTCCCTATGTTTAAGATATAACGTCCGTCGATTAATTAAATTACTGACAAAATAATTAATCAACTTCTTATTCATTTCCGAAATTAGTACCACTCAGATCGTTAATCATTATGTCGGATAATCATTCACCTGCAGGGTTTAACATAATATTCCTTCATGTGCTCATTTCGGGAACGTCATCAACCCAGCGCACTGGGACATAGTGACCGTAAATAATTTATAACAGTACGTCATATAAACACTCTCATTTACCAAAGTACCGAGTATGTCAACTTAACGGAATAAGAATCACCCTTGGTAAATCAAATAAACAAGTGATGAATATACACGTCCGTTTTATATTAACTTACAACCTTAGTGAACGCATCAATAACTGAAGGTCTAGATTACAACAACGGTCAGTGAGTCTCATAATCTTATCCTTCCGCGGTCCTGTTCAATACTTAACATAAGTACTAGTGTAGTTCTCCAGTCAAAGATCAACTGAATCAAGAATACACTACAGTCTTTTTCCAAGAGGGGTCTCACTGCCTGTCTAGACTGTGAACGAATAGTTTAGTCTTACGAGGAACCGATAGGTGACCTTTCTGTTCGAGACACCACGAACCACACTATCTCAATGTAAGACAAGGAGTATGATTGCATAAATAAATAAACTGCAAGCATATGTACTTTGACTAAAATATGATTGCTAGATCAAAATGGTATTGTTCATATCTGAAAGCCAAACCTTTACAGCATATCTAACATATTCTTCCCTCTTTTACTGTTTTAGCCTTCAGATCCGTAAGTCGTAAATCCGACAACCTTCTGATTTATTGTGGCATCTACGAGGACGTACCTGACTTTGTCTTTAGGTCTAAACCGACGTCGTCTTTAGGTATAACCTGCCCTCAGACCACCTGACATTGATGTCTCAAGGTCAGTTACTTTGTCGGGCTCCTTGAGGTTGGTATCTCCAGGCCATGTCTATACTATTAGCTCGGCACCTTAAGCCCTTGTCGGAACTACTTACCCAAACATCTTATCTCTGTATCCATAGGAGTCCTTCTAGCTCGGCCTTAGCCGAGCTACTCTCTTAGACCGGTGTGATGAGCTACTTTTGAGTGTTACATCATCTAGCCCACCCCCCCTCTCCCCAAATCTAAGGAAGAGTTAATCGTACTTGTGTTGAAGTGGTTCTTTATGCTTAAAGTTTGTATTTGAACTTATTCCTTCATTCAAAGTATCGAATAATTTCAAGGGAGGGTGAAGCGCAAAAAAGAACTTTTTACCTGCTCAAATCCCGCCCTACGTACAATGTCCACGTGGACACGCCTTACCAAATTCTAGGTGAGATTCTGAGCCATGTCTATACTATTAGCTCGGCACCTTAAGCCCTTATCGGAACTACTTACCCAAACATCTTATCTCTGTATCCATAGGAGTCCTTCTAGCTCGGCCTTAGCCGAGCTACTCTCTCAGACCGGTGTGATGAGCTACTTTTGAGTGTTACATCATCTAGCCCACCCCCCCTCTCCCCAAATCTAAGGAAGAGTTAATCGTACTTGTGTTGAAGTGGTTCTTTATGCTTAAAGTTTGTATTTGAACTTATTCCTTCATTCAAAGTATCGAATAATTTCAAGGGAGGGTGAAGCGCAAAAAAGAACTTTTTACCTGCTCAAATCCCGCCCTACGTACAATGTCCACGTGGACACGCCTTACCAAATTCTAGGTGAGATTCTGAGCTCTTGTGTAACACCCCGTTTTATTATAAAGGATTTACCAAATTTATTTACAAAAATCAGAGTTATTTTTTTTTTTTTCAAAATCTCAATTTATAACTTTAACGATTAACGGGTGCTACCTAACTAACGACAACAATTAAACACATACGACAAAAAGAAAAAACTTACACATGCATGAGCTAACGATTATAAAAATAATCCAACTTATTCACAAGTCTCAAACCATCCAGAAAATTTGCATAAGTCAATGGTTCATCCAACACATAAACATGGTTCATAACGGAAGCATAAATAATCCAAAATAAGATCAAGTAATTTAGCAATATTAATAATATTAAGCGGAAGCAAAAGACACATCAATCATAGACCACCATCTCGCTCATCTTTACGCACCGCCTCCAGCTCGTCTCAACCTAAAGAAAAGAAGAGAAGACAACAACAGAAAATAATGGGGTGAGCATCACCATCGAGCTCACCATTATCGCACAGTTATCCTATATAAAGATTTAAAAGTAAAGTAACCACAGTATACAATATGCATAGAATCCAAAAGTCTAAACCCCCTACCCGGCCCTATCACAAACCTCCCAAGTACATACAACAACCTTCCGGATACAATGACGAGGAAGTAATTGGAAAACTCTCCCACCCCGAACTACTCACGGATCATGGGAGTCCACCCCGAACTACTCACGGATCATGGAATTTTTCCAGGAGACAGTGGAGCTGTTTTTCCCCCCCAAAACACACACGGATCAGGGCATCTCCTCCCGGATACAACGGGCAGCTGACCTCTCACTGTTATGCATTCTTCAGAGGCACTACCAATAGGATACTTAGGCTAGGGTTCTCACGCATACGACAAATTTTCAAACGAAACATTTATACGAAATATTAAGTGCAATAATTATGGAATACATCACAAATGTACCCACCTGGTTGCAGCAATAAACACAAATACGAATCTCGAAAGTAGGATTAGGTCAACACCTCAAAACACCTACATTCAGTCAAGATACTAAAATCAACACTTTATCTTGACTTAAAAAGGAAATCACAAATTGGACTTAGTCGAACTCGATTCGACTAAGCTGTTCGTGAAGTCCTGTGGACGTTGGAACTCTAACTTAGACTCGAACAACCAAACACGGGACGTAAATATCACATAAAAGATCGTTCAAACAAGTCACGACCACAACAAGAAATCTGGTTTATAGTTTTTGACACAAGAACTACATTTTTGAAAAATAGAAATCGCTATATCACATAATTAGGTTGATCAAATTTATGAATGAGTTAGGTTCTGAAACTTTCACATAAAATCCACCTCACTGGACTTAGTAAAACCACCAAGTTTCAACCCCAAACTCATTATACACCATTTTATAAAATTCATACAAGTTGACAGCAAAACAAACATAAATTCACATCTAGACCTAATGAACGATTCAGGAGTTGACATTTTAACACCATAAACTACAGTATGTGAGTGACGACATATAAAAATTTCAGCCATTGACATCAACTACACAAATTTTTAAAAATTCATACAAGTTTCTGCAGTTTTAGAAGTTTAATTAAAACCGAACCAATTTGAACTCCAAAAATTCTAGTCTTTTTACAGCATGAAACTCCACATAAAACAAGCACTTCAGTCGAATATCAGAATTTTTCAGCAACTGGCAATTCATCATAATTAAAACAACTTTCAGCAGAATACTTAAATAATTTATTTACCCTATCAAACTTAGTCCAAAAATTTTAAATATTTTACACAACGTATAAACATGACAGAGGCATAATATACTCAAATTTTAGCATAATTGAAGCATGGACCAATTTATTTTGCATTTACCATGTTTCTGCCCAGAAATCACTTTAATTATTTAAAATAGTTACAAACCTCATAAAATCATGAAATTTTTACACGAGCTATAAAATCAATAGAGTCATTTACACCTAAAATTTCAAAGCAATCGGATCAGTGGGCGATTTATCATGAATTTTTTTTATCAAAACAGCCATAATAAACGATCAATAATTCATATAAGACTCGACACAAACCGAAATTGTCCGAGGTCTTCACCACAAGACCAAAAACTTGACAATGTTCCATTATCCACAGCAACTTAACACTTTTTAACGTGTGCTCGATCGATTCACACGAGTCGACGAGGTTCACGTACATACACGACAATATTTATAACGAAACGAAATAAACATATAAAATCACAATTCATAAAAACACGTAGAGTACGGACAACACGACAAATAATCATTTAAAAATAAACAAAGAGTCGAGACTCGATACCGTTCTCGGGAAAACGAGCGAGAAAGAATTGAACGGGGCTCGACGGCACGTCGGCTTCACGCTTCTCGCCGGGAAAGGAGGGGCAGCGGCTGCGGCTGGTCGCGTAGGAGCAAGTTGCTAGTTACTGGGGTCGCGACGGCGCATGGGGGACCAGCGGCGGCGGTCGTTCGCACGGAGGAGCAGAGGGTTCGCCGGAATCGCGACGAGAGAGCTTGCGGAGAAAGTCCTGCGCGATGTTGGGAGGTCGTTGGAGGGGGAGTCGCTGGTCCCGGCGATAGGGCAGCCGGGTCGTCGGAGGGAGGGCCTGGGTGATGAGGGCTCGCCGGCGGGAAGAGCAGCATGCAAGGGGTGATCAGATATGGTGGCTGCGGGGCGTTGGTGTGGCTGGTTGTCTGCTGC